CCCGTGGGGCTGGGGACCGAGGGACCAGGGTCACCAGCGGCCTGGGCGCCTGCCGTGCCCCCCCCAGGAAATGGCCCGGGGCCTCAAACTGTGGTCCTCCTGCCTCAGCCCTCCAGGTAACCTGGATTACGGGTGCGTGTGGCTCCCGGTTTGGGGCGTACGTTTGGTTATGGTGTGGATGTGTCCCGTAAAGCTCATGCGTTCAGTGTGTAATCCCAGTGCCACAGTCTTGACCTTTAGCCAATCTCAGCGGCCCTTGCCCTTAACCCAGCACGCTGGGAGGCTGAGGCGGGAGGATCACGAGTTTGAGTCCACTTGGCCTGGGCAAGATACTTAGTGAAACTTCGGATCAAAATAAACAATTTTTAAAAAGGATCTAGGGACTCAGATCCCTGTAATCCCAGCCCTGAGGAGGCTGAGGCAGGAAGATCGCCCCAAATGTGAGGCCAGCCTGAAATACACAGCAAGAGCCTGTCTCACAAGAAAAAAAACAACAAAGGAGGGCTGGACGCCCAACAAAGGCTGTGGTTCCGTCCCCAGCTTGTCATGGCCCACAGCTCAGGCTGTGGCTGTTGGGGAGGACAGTGGTTCGGTGGCCTGGCCGCTGGAAGCAGGGCCCTGTGTCCATAGGACCTCGCCGCAGCGCCAGGCCCAGCTGCAGTTCTCCCCAGTGTCCCTGTCCCCCTGCTGAGCCTCTTCTCTGCCGGCCCTGTCCTCCTCAGGTCGGGACACGGACACGGTACCGAGGTCAGTACTTCCCGGAACCTCAATAGTTCTGTGCGGAGATCCCCCTTTTCTTTTTTGGTACCAGGGATTAAACTAGGGACCTTGTGCTTGCGAGGCAGGCGGTGGCACCGGGGAGCTATTTTAGCATGATCCGCCTTTCATGAAGGGGGATGCTAGAGCTTCCAGAATTTCCCTCTGCCTGAGCCACATCCCTGCTCCTTCCTTCCTTCTTATTCTGAGACAAAGTCTTGCCGAGTCACTGAGTAGCTCAGGCTCGGCTGGAATTTGAGATCCTCCTGCCTCAGCCTTCCAGCCAGCCAAGCTTCTAGAATTTTCTGGCAAGCATTTGGGTAAAACAAGGGCTTCATGTCTACATAAGGAAGCACTCCTTCTGCTCTCCGGATCTGCACCCCGAGATCTCCACTGAGGCCCAGGGGCAGGGGTGGCCGGCAGCTACCTGAGTGCCCGTGGCTCGGAATACTCCTCGTAGCTCTGCATGGAGTCGCTGTAGGACTCCCGGGAGCCCAGCGGAGGCGGGCGGACGGAATACTGGTGCACAGAGGCATTGGGCTGTGAGGTGGTGTAGTAGGGTGGTGGGATGCTGTTGCTTGTCTCGCTGCGATAGTCGCTGTCCCGGTCATCCACTGCACTGTCGGGGTCATCATCTGGAAGACAGGGAAGGGGGACAGGGTGATGGGCTGCTGACCCAGAGAGAGGAGTTTTTATGTAATGCTTGGAAGACTGTGGGTCTTGTGAATAGAGGTATGGGCCTCAGAATAAGGGAGGGGGGAAACCTTGCCTGGCCTCCTCTGGGTCAAACTGGATCTAGAGTCTGGGTCAGGGTAGGTCACGGGCTAGAAGGGGACAGGGACAAAATGAAGGGTGACCTTCAGTGCCATGGGAGGCAGAACTTTGCCAACATGCAGGCTGTCAGAAAAAACGAGGTGCGGTTTTGTTCTCTCCAGCAGTGGGTTCCCCGTAAGAGGGAGATGGGTGATGGGGACAGGGTCCCTGACGTGAGGCCTGCAGGTCCGGAGCAAAGGGGGACGCCACGCTTTGAACATCTAACAAGAGCCCAAGCACACGTGCTCTGGGCTGCCTCAGCAAAACCAAAGTGTAAGGCAACATGCATTGGGTGTGGCAGCGCAGGCCTATAATCCCAGCTATTCAGGAGGCTGAGGCAGGAGGATCGCAGGTTCCAGACCAGCCTGGCAACACAGTGAGACCCTGTCTCAGAAACAAAGACAAGAACCAAAGAACCCTAACAGCAGTATGTCTGGGTAGGGGGTGATGCACTTTGTTTCCTTTGGTAACTTCTGGGAAAATCAGTCTTTCTTCTTCTCTCTCCTCTGTTGTTCTTGTTGTTATACCGCAGAGGGGACCTAGGGCCTCCACAGTGAATCTCCCTCAGCCCTTTTACATTGCAGACAGGTTTCTCTCACGAAATTGCCCAGGCAGGACCAGCCCCAGCGGCACTGGCGGGTGTTGGATGGTCCTGGTGTGAGATGCCTCCATTTATTTCACTTTTTTATTTTTATTTATTTATTTATTTATTTTTTGAGACAGGGTCTCACTGTGTAGTTCAGGCTGACCTTGAACTCACTATGTAGCCCAGGCTGGCCTTGAACTTGTGGCAATCCTCCTGCCTCAGCCTCCTGAGAGCTGGGACTATAGGCGTGCGCCATCAGGCCCAGCTCTCTCCATTTATTTTGAAAGTAACACCAGGGCTGTAAGAAAATGGGCTGCAAGAAGTACTAGCACCCTGACACCTTGCAATTAACTTGCTGATGATTTTACGTGCTGAGGGATGGTTGATACCTTTTGCTTCTTTGTCGTTTATGCCTACTGTATCTGGTATTTTCGCTCATTTGCCAGATGTTTGCACACTTTTCTTATTTTATCTAAATATTTGTTTTATCTAAACCTTTTTCAGCTAAATGCATATGTTTCTTTTTTGCTGTTTGTTCCAGGCTGGCCTGAACTCATGGCGATCCTCTTGCCTCAGCCTCTCGAGGGCTAGGATCACAGGTGTGCACCACCACACCAAGCTAAATGCATGTGTTTCTAGGTGCACAAGAAATAGGGCTGATTCTCTTTTCTTTTTGGTAGTGGGGGATCAAACTCAGGACCTTGAGTTTGCCAGCCAAGTGGGGCACCACTGAGCTACATCTGTAGCAGGTCTGATTGTTTCAATGTGGTCAATTGTTTTAAAAATTCACTTCAGCCAGGTGTGTTCATGCCAGTCACCCCAGCACTCTGGGAGGCTGAGGCAGGAGAATTACAAGTTTGGGCCTAGCTTGGGAATGTAGTGACTTAGCGAGACCCTGTCTTAAAAAAAAAACGAAAAGATGGCAGGGGGAGCCTGGGACGCAGCTCAGTGGAAAGCCCTGGGTTCCATCCCAAGTCTGGGAAAATGAAGACAAGCACCGGACAGAGGAAAAGAAAGCAATTCGCTCTGGTCAACATGGAAGAGTGGTGGCCCAGGCCTCCCCGGGGGTCCTGCTGGTGCTGGTGCCCCTCAGCCCATTCCTGGAGGCGCGGAGACAGGTGAGGAGGGGCAGATGTGTGCGGACTGCGTCCGGCCCCTCCCGGGAGTCCCTCCAGCTGACAGCTGGGCCTTGCCGCCCTGACCCCCAGGTCCCCGTGTAGGGTGTGAGGGGTTTGGGGCCCAGGACAAGCAGGTGGTGACGACTTACTCTGTTCACCCCAGCCGAAGTAATTCCAGTTGCCTATGAGAGAAGGGTGGAATGAAGCGGGGGGGTCCCTGCTGCCTCAGTTTCCCCGTCCCCCATGGCTGGCCCTGGTGGTGGGAGGGAGAATTCTGGGGCCTCCCGCTTCTTTCCTCCAGGTCAGCCTGGGGCCCTGAGCCTCACACACCCCACGGTGGGGTCCCTGTGACTCAGGAGGCTGAGGCAGGAGGATTGCTTTGCTTGAGCCCAGGAGGCCAAGGCTGGTCAGGGCCACACAGTGAAACCTGGGCTCAGAACAGCAGTGGTGAGGAAAAACAGCATGAAGTAGTGGCCTGGTGTCCTTCCACCCTGGCTCTGCCGCCTGTCAGCAGGTGGCCTTTATGTATCTCTTCTCTCTGCCTCAGTTTGTTTAAAAAAGCAGGCACCTGTTGGATGTGTCCCTGGACGGGTACTGCCAGGGAGGTGTTGTGAGAGGTTTGTCGAATGACTGCTAGATCTCACCCAGAGCTTCGTGCAAAAGCATCTACCCCATCCCCTTAGTGGCCCTGCATTCAGGGAGGCGTTGAGAGTTGGGAGGGCATGGCCAGCGGCCCCAGGGCTCCGCAGGGGACACTTACAGCACTGGCTGCTGGGCACGGGCAGCGGCTTCTCCTGCTCGTCCGGGAAGGAGTACTGCGGGGGACAGAGGCTGGGCTCAGGGAGGCGGCTCTGAGCTCCGTGCTGGAGAGTGCAGCAGGGGGCGGGGCGGAGACCACGCCGTGGGCGGTGCTGTGTCCCGGGGCTGGGATCCAGGCCACAGCCCGGTGGGGGGCAGGCGCTGCTGCCCCCGCACCTCGTCTTGGTCGCGCATGGCGTTGAGCTGCTCCAGCTTTTTGGCCCAGTAGCGTGCCTCCTCCTCGGGGATGTCTGAGGGAGAGCCTGCTGTGACCGCCTTGCCCTGGGCCACCCCACGGCCGCGCCCTGTGCTGGCTCCCGCCCAGGCACTGTCCTGACTCCCACTCCCTGCGCTGCCCAGGAAAGGAGAGAACAGGAGAGGGACATCCTAGCGTACTGGGAGGCTGAGGCAGGAGGGCTGCAAGTGCCAGCCCAGCCTGGTCTCAACTTTTAGGTGGACTGGGGATGCAGCTCCGTGTCAAGGCCCCGGATGAAGTCCCTATGACTGAAAAGGGCCAGAGCCAAAGTTGGCCGGGTTAACTCCACCCACCTCGTGGTGTTTTCTATTTATTTACGTATTTATTTGTGGTACTGGGGGTTGAACTCAAGGCCTTCACACTGAGCTTTGTCCTCAGCCCCGTTTTTCTTTCTCTGCTCTGAGGCAGGGTGCTGGGGAGTCACCCAGGCTGAGCCGCAACTTGGAGTCCGCCTGCCTCAGCCTCCCAGCGAGCTGAGATGCTGGGCGCGCCCCACGCCCCCCGGCCTGGGCGACTCACCCAGGGGCAGCTCGAAGCGCGTGTCCAGAAGGATGCGGTGGAAGGTGGGGTCTTTGGTGCCGCAGATCTCGCTGTCGGCCATGATGACCTGGGAGTCCAGTGTCAGCCACTCCCCGGGGCCCTCCTGGGCAGGGACAGCGCCGGTCAGGCGGCTGCGCCTCGCACCACCCGTGGGGACAGGGAGGCTGAGGCAGGGACGGCTGTGGGGCGGTGAGGAGAAACACACCGCCCTCCTGTGGCTGTGGCAGGAGAGCTCACGGCGCCTTCCTCGGGTGGACGCAGCCTCGCTCCTGCTGCCCACTGCGGGCCCAGGATACCAGGGGACCACATTATCCCTCTTTACCGCCACAGGACTGCAACAGAACTCCTAGCTGGGCTCAGAAGGCGTGGCTTAAAGCTACCTTTCCCAGAATCCCTCGAGCCAGGCAAAGCTGCATGACGCAGTAAAGCGCTGTGAGCGGCTCTCTCCTTTGCTGCATTTCCCCAGCTGGAATACAGCTGCCACGATTACCCTTAAGCAGCCACTTTGGGTCATGAGGTAGAAGCCACATGGGGAAAAGCAGAGTAACAGGATGGAAGGGGTTTAAAAGGAGCTGGTGATTTGGGGGTTGTGACGGTGACTCCAGATGTCTCCATGGACGCGTTCATCTTCAGGTCACAGGACTCTGGGTCCTCCCGGGCCCCCTCCTTCCCTACCCCGAGCCCCGCGGTCACCTCATTGGACTGGCGGATGGTCCGCAGCGGGATCCACACAGTGCCCACCATGGTGTCCCAAATGAGGCCCTTGTTCCACACCTCCACTGTCAGCCCCAGGTCCAGGCGGTTGATCTCGCTGGGGGAGGAGCAGGGGAGGGGGCTCAGGAGGTCAGGTCGTCTCAGTCACAGCCGCTCAGACCAAGCTGTGGGACCCCTGGGAAGGAGCCCAATGTTCTCATTTTACAGAGGACAATCTAAGGCCAGAGGGGCCGTGACCAGCTCAAGAGCAGCACAAAGAAACTGGCCTCTGCAGATGAGGACGGAGCCAGGAGAGCCAGCGGGCTGCCTCTAGATTCATGTGCAGACAGGGTCTGGAGCTCCCGGGAGGTGACCCAGGACAGCTCAGGTGCAAAGGCCCTGGGGCAGAGCCCGGTGGGTGGGCGCCACGGACACGGGAGGCGTGGGGGGTTCCAAGACCTCCGTGCCAGGAACGGTTTGGAACGCAGAGTGGCAGGATGTGATCTACAGTGTTAAAAATATCCCCAGGCTGCTGGAGGAGAACAGATTGTGCTAGGCGGGAGGCAGCAGGAGGCCGGGGTGGAGGCTGGCGCTGTGGGGGCTTGGCCTGTGCCCTGAAGATGGAGGGAGGCTACCAACGCCCAGAGGTCCGGGGTGGCCCAGGGCGCAAAGGGGCAGCTGGGCGGGAGGATGGGGTCAGGAGGGCGTGGCCAAGGGGGCAGCAGCCACTACACAAGGAGCTGGGTTGCGGCTCAGGGGCGTGGTCAACCTGGGGAAGAGGGGTTGCAGCGGGGGCGAGGCCAAGGGATGGAACCGCCCAGGGCTTGGCAGAAGTGGGTGTGGTCAGGGTGGTGGGCGGGACCATGGCTGGTGGGCGGGGCCTCGGCGCGCAGACTCACAACATGAAGTCCTGCTCCCAGCTGGGCTGGCTGCCGCGCACGGCGATCGTCGTGCTCTTGACATTTTGCACCTTCAGGGTCACATACGTGTTGAATTTCTCTGGCGGTGAGAGAAGGGGCGGGCGAGGTGCTCAGTGGGTGTGGTCAGGGTGGTGGGCGGGACCATGGCTGGTGGGCGGGGCCTCGGCGCGCAGACTCACAACATGAAGTCCTGCTCCCAGCTGGGCTGGCTGCCGCGCACGGCGATCGTCGTGCTCTTGACATTTTGCACCTTCAGGGTCACATACGTGTTGAATTTCTCTGGCGGTGAGAGAAGGGGCGGGCGAGGTGCTCGGTGCTCAGAGGACCCCGACGGTCCCTCCCGAGCTCGGACAATCCCGCTGTCCCCGGGCCTGCCCTCCCTCCCGCAGGGTCCCCCGCAGGCCTGAGACGCCCGGGGTGCCTGAGTCAGGGTCAGCAGCGGACGCACGGGCCAGACGGGCGACTCCGACACTCGTTACCCCATCTGCAGCGGATCCAGGAGGCCCTGCCTGGTCCCCAACGCTGCCCCGCGCTCCCCGGACAGGGCCCAAGTCTGAGCCTCGGCCCAGAGCCCTCCTCCCTCCCAGAGACGGAGGACAGACGGACGGAGGACAGACGGCACGGGACAGCAGGCGTGAACTCACCTTGGGCACCGTCAAACTTGGCTTTTTTGACTGTGGAGAGACAGAGATAGGGAAGGGAGATGGGAGAGGCGAGGGAAGGAACGCCAGACACAGAGACAGAGAGGGATCAGGGTGGAGGCATCAGGAGAGAGCCAGAGACGGAGAGACAGCGAGGAGGAAGAGACACAGACACAGGGAGACGGGCGGGAATGGAAGACAGCAAGCACAGGCGTGGAGAGACCAAGCGGGAAACACAACGGGGCAGAGACAGACACAGGGCGGAGGAGGAGGCGGGGAGGGAGAGAGAGCGCGTCAGGCCGGCCAGGCCAGGCCGGCCTAAGGCAGAAGGAAACAGGACCCGGAAGCTCCTCCCACCCTGTCCCCATCTCGGTCCGCAGCGGTGCCTTCACCGCCAAATGAACAAGTGTCAAAGGAGGAACCGGGCTGGGCATGGTACTGAGGCTGAGGCAGGAGGACCGCATGTTTGAGCCCAAGCTGGGCCGCTCGGCGATGGAGCAAGGGAGACCTCGTTGCGAAATCAAAACCTAAAGAGGAGCGGAAGCGGCAGGGTGGGCTTCCGGAGGGAAGTCCTCCGCAGGGTCCGAGGAGTGCAGGCCGCAAGGGCGGGCCCGGGGAGCACGGCCTGCCGGCGCATGCACCGCTTCCCCAGGCGTCCAG